AATAACATTTAGGCTAGAACAAATTTATACATTGCACGTGAAAACACTGTATATGTAACGCTCAATATGTTCAATCTTTCAAATTTTGAAAACCAAGAACTTCAAATGCGTGTGTTTGATTTCTTTTCATAACTGTTATGCTCAGTTTGTTCAGCTTCATCAAGATACCTACTTTTGAGGTGAGGTGAGGTGAGGTGAGGTGTTGGGTGAGGTGAGGTTTACGTTTTACGTCCTGCTTGAGAATATTTCGCTCATATGACGACGTGCATGCGTGTGTATGTGTATGTGCGGCTGCTTGTACTAGCCCAGACTGAAGCTGGTTTTATAGTGCGAGCCCACTGAGATACCATGCCGCAGTGAAGCATGAATACCCCACTCAGACACATTATACTGACTCGAGCCGACCAGTCCTTGTTGTACCCATTAATGCCGAGCGCCAGGCGGGGACCAACAAGTACCATATTTTAACGTCTTTTGGTATGACGCGGTCGGGGATCGAACCCGCGACCTTCCGCTCTCCGGGCGGAACCTACTTTGAAGATGAAAACCAGCAAGAGAATGAAATGAGTTATAGGCGATTTCTGAAGTGAAATTCGTGACTGATTTAAGAAAAGGCACTTGAAAAGTATTGAAATTCTTCAATATCTGTCACACAGCGAACGTAATTGCCGTGGAGAGATATCCAGTTCCATCAACTTATATCTAGTCAAGAGACGTTAATATGATTTTAGTATTCTATAATATTTGTATTTTAGATTCAAACCGTTAATCAGATTTTAATACAGCAAACCTCGGTTATAACGAAATATAAAAACGACCAATTCCTTTCGTTATAACTGTAGTTCGTTATACGCACCTCGACTGATCTAAACAGCAAGTCAGTTCGTTATGGGCGTGTTCGTCATAAACGTCTGTCTATATACGTTGATGATGTTGCGGTAGTTTGCACAGTGTAGTTACTTTCTTGCGGATATAGGTCCTTTACCATTTCAAAATAGAAAATATCGTTAACAATTAATATTAAACCTTTTCTTGTAGAAAGCAACGTATATATATTGCTCATGTTGCCACTGGTATTCTTAACAAGACTCAAATGATTTATACTCATTTTTTACATGAGTAAACGTGTGATTTCTGCAAAAACTTACCACATACTTAGAATTAATTACTGACTTGACTGAGTTTGGTTTTACGCCGCTAGCAATATTCCAGCAACATCACGGCGGGGACACCAGAAATGGGCAGAATTATTTACATGTTCTACAATTGGATCACTCTGATTCACAACATGTATACTTTTTCTTGAAGCCATTACAAATCATTTGTGTTAAATGGGTTGGTGAGAAGTTGACTTTATTCTTTTTCTCTATAGAAAATCTTCTACATGATTAAGACATAAGGAAAAGGGTAAATAGTAAAATACAGTACGTGCATGGAGGATTGAAAACAAACGTCATTACAAAATTTTCATGACCTAATACCATCGTACATTAAAATATTTACCAGTTATATCTTAGTTTAGTAGCATGTTCAATTGTTCTTTCTGTTATAACTTTCCAGTCAAATTGTGATCAATCGTAGAGTAGTTCATTCTGAAACCAGCTTGGACTTCAGACAAAAATACGACTTTGTTCAATAAGAGACGTTTTAGTTTGTTTGTCGTTAAGGCCGGACTCAGCTATAGCACTCTCATTTTGACCTATACGCGTTACTACGTACTGCCAAACATAATGGAAACAAAAAGAACCTGTAAATAGGATATAATTAGTCCTTTGCTAGTAAGGCAGGATATTTCATAACTGTATCATGTTTGTACTCCAAGTATGTGTCATTGCTTATTTTACTGACATGTGACTTCCTGGACCGAACTCCCATTTCAGCTGTGTCCGTGTCAAGAATAGAGTATGACGCGTGAACGTATGGCGAGGTGTGAGGTGTATTGTGGAATCCCATACCCTGGTTACTGAGATCAAACAAGCTCATCACTGACTGTAAGAAACATGAAATACAACCAACATCTTGAGGGCGGGGTTGGGGGATTTGGTTGGTGGGACTTTGTTAGATCTTTAAAACATAGAGTTTGTTGGTTATAAAGCAGCATGAAATATCCCGCATGTTTCAAAACTGTGAAGCGTATTTGTGTATACATGTGATATATTGTGAGTTGATTCGATTTTAAAGTGTTTCGGCGATTGTTTTTAACTTGGTAGCGTCTTGATAACGTTTGAAATGTTTTCTTTCAAATGCAACTTTCATGTACGTACTTTCTTTGGAACTACGCATTATTATTAAAATCGGTGTATCATACCAAGATAAATATACTTCTATAATGTTCTTTCAGAGCAGATTTATGTTCTGTGATCGAGCTACTCTTTAATAAAACCCGAAGCAAGTTTTTGTAGCATTTCCGGGACATTTTTTCCCAAGTCGTAACTAAAATAACAGAAAATTATTGTTTGTGTATCTAATACTATCTATTAATGATTGGGCATTACAAGACAGTAGAGTATATTATCAACATTTTCTCAATCTTTGAATGCAGCGAGAAGAGTGAGTTTAGTTTTACGCTGCACTCAGCAATATTCCAGCTATATGGCGGCGGTCTGTAAATAATCCAGTCTGGACCATACAATCCCGTGATCAACAGCATGAGCATCGATCTACGCAATTGGGATACGATGACATGTGTCAACTAAGTCAGCGAGCCTGACCACCCGACCCCGTTAGTCGCCTCTTATGACAAACATGGGTTACTGAAGATCAATTTTTACCCGGATCTTCACGGGGGCAGCGAGGTGAAACACATTGTACTCGTGCGTTGTGTCTCTGAGACAAAGGTAAAACCCGTCCTCCATTATATAACAGTCGAGCGAATGGAGATAGTAATCCGGAGTTAAACATTGTGTTCGTGGCTAGTATGAATACCACACACTGCACCGAGACGGCTGAGTGGCGAGAGTATTGAGTCATAGACTCTCTGATCGCTGGAGTTAATGGAGTCGAGGCATTGTGTTATGGGCATAGAGTGGAGTATGACATAACTGGTATAAATATCACCTTGTCGGTGTGTAGTGTGAAGTGGGGTGTTGAGGTGTTGAAGTGAGACGAGGCATGTGCTCTTTTGTCGTGCCGTACCCTGGTGAAATAATTGGTCAAAAATACAATGAAATGTGGGGTCAACATGGGAAAGACTTCCGCCCATATACCCCCTTAAATTTCATTCTTGTAAAATCATATCACCTGAATATATATTCTTCATCTGGATAAGGATGAGTTTTAACATGTTTCTTTAATTGTATCTAAACTGAAAGACACATTCAACTTCTAGAAATGCCACTCAAAGACATGTTTCTTTATCGTTAAAATCTAGGGGGGATACGGGCGGAAGTCTTACCAATATGAACACTTACCACGGCCGGGAACACCATAAATGAGCTTCACACATTGTACCGATGTGGGAAATCGAACCCGGGTCTTCGGCGTGACGAACGCTTTAACCACTTGGCTACCCCACCGCCCTTGTAGTCAAAATAGATTTGACTATGGTAACGATAAAGATAAATAAATATACAAACAAAACACAAACAGAATACACCTTGATTTATACGAAACAAACCGAGTTACCAGTAAGCCCTGCCACCACCGGGCTATTGTACCACATAACTATATAGAACGCAGAAGGCAGTTTGATGCACGTTGAAGAAGAAGAAGAAGAAGAAGAAGAAGAAGAAGAAGAAGAAGATGAAGAAGAAGAAGAAGAAGATGAAGAAGAAGAAGATGAAGAAGAAGAAGAAGAAGATGAAGAAGATGAAGAAGAAGAAGAAGAAGAAGAAGAAGAAGAAGAAGAAGAAGATGAAGAAGAAGAAGATGAAGAAGAAGAAGAAGAAGAAGAAGAAGAAGAAGAAGAAGAAGAAGAAGAAGAAGAAGAAGAAGAAGAAGAAGAAGAAGAAGAAGAAGAAGAAGAAGAAGAAGAAGATGAAGAAGAAGAAGAAGAAGAGAAGAAGAGAAGAAGAAGAAGAAGAAGAAGATGAAGAAGAAAGAAGAAGAAGATGAAGATGAAGAAGAAGAAGAAGAAGAAGAAGAAGAGAAGATGAAGAAGAAGAAGAAGAAGATGAAGAAGAAGAAGAAGAAGAAGATGAAGAAGAAGAAGAAGAAGAAGAAGAAGAAGATGAAGAAGAAGAAGATGAAGAAGAAGATGAAGAAGACTGTCATAACATTTTAACAATAGGAGTGACTATTACGTAACAGCAGTCACAAAATAGAACGGGAGAGGTCACATTTGTGACATTCGTTTACAATGTTAGAAATAAATAGAGTGGTTTCAGCATTTTGATCGCGTCTGATTTTCAAGCCAATATTTCAATTTTTTCTGTCAAGAATCGCTTACATACTTTCACATACTCTAGCATAACAAACATATTACAAAACACTGTCATCACAGTGTAACATTGTGGTCGACTGGTTCCATCTGATAAACACTTGCAACTAGTAAAAACTATATCCGACTTTTCTAAGTATATTCACAGGTGATAAAATGACCTTGTGTATTAAAACAACAACACATGTATGCCTGATACAATGAATACACAATACCGTTTAGAAAGTGGTCAAATGTAATACATGTTATATTTGGGATTACAATTTCTCAGTAAAGTACAATAGACAAAGTCAGCCATCTAGAACAACTCAGCCACCTGAAAAAAGACCGTTTAATAGTTTGAATGGAATGGTTGCTCATTACATGATGGTTTAAATCATCGATGGCATTCATTCCTTTCGTCTTACTGTAATATACATTCGGAACAGTTTGTGATTCAGAAAATGTTTGAAGTAAAAATGTATGAAGTAAAATATGTTTTCATGCAAAGTTCCGATTCGAACCTGTAAGCCACAATCGCGACGGTACTCATGTCACAGTGACACTGTCCAATAGAGTTGACAGAGTTATGCGCCCTTGTCATCAAGGCTTTGCAAATCGACCCTAATGCACCTGAGCGAAACATCTTGAAACGCTGATCACAGAACTTGAGGAGGAGTGCACTTCTGCAGGTAATGTCCCAATTACACCTTCATAGTGCTGTCCAGTGAATGTAAGTATCCACATTGGTCATATACGAGTCACACTGAAAGTGAAAGCGGCAGGTGATAACAGCCACTTAGCGGAGCCCACTTAGAAAGTGTCTCTCAGAGAATGTGTTGCAGGGTTTCGTCAATCTCGGACGGACTGCCGACCTGTGTAATGTGATATGCATCCATTTTGGTTGATTTCCCGACTCTCATTTTGCAAGCTGTGAACATAGCTTACAATTGCATGTATTTCATAATGCAACACGTGTTGGTTGTATTGTATCAGAATAGATTTTTGGTTGTCTCACAGAATGGGACGAGGTCAAAGTGATCTCTTCTACTATGTAGGACAATACCGTCTGTTAATATGCATGGAGGTATGCAAATTTCTAATGATGGTTGTCTGATTAATTAAAGTAATGTTTATTATCATGCCTCCAAACCCTCATTCACTGTTAATCAAAGCGAAGGAAGGTGGAAAGTACAATCTCACCAATCCCACTACTGCAACATTATGCTTGGATTTTGCAGTGTTAAATATTTGTATTGCACTTTTCATGCTTTTTTGCCCGGCTTTATGTGTTCATGGTAAAGCAGACGTAATACTGTACACATCAGTATAGTGCATGATCTTTCATGAAAAGCTCCTCAAAACGGATGCAGGCGGAAACACTTTTCACTATGGGTTTAAATAATGCCTCCCGGAATGTTTATTAAATAGACTAAGGAAGTGCTTTTTAAACCATACACATGTTAAATTTGTCTTCACAGGTTGAGCTTTAGCGGACAAATATTTTGCAAATGTCAATAAAACTAAGTAAATTTTGAAGAAAATCAAATTTTACCAGAATTGTAGTTCAACCTCTGGATGAAAATGTATGACATGATGGATTTTCAGTCGTTAAATCATAAATATGAAATTCAGATGAAGATAGTGCAGTGTTTAGGTTTATTTAATGTAACTTTATGAATGGTAAACATTCTGATGGAAAATAATCATGCTTATGTTATATTCCAAGATGCTTTCTTAAAAAATGAAACATGCTGACAGTACTTTATCTATCAAAAAAGTACACTTTTTGCTGACTGAATTGATGTGACTATGCCACTTTTACCTGCCTCCATGTCATCAAACACACCCTTGGTAACTGATGTCACGATTCTCATCAGTTGTCATTGCCTCGTACAGTCTCCTATAGTGCAACTAACTCAGACAGCACCCAGTTTCATGGTATGCCACTATCATCTATGTTTAGCTTTTTCGACAGAAAAAATGCCTCAGCTTGACAAACAGTTCAACAGCAGCACAGCAATACTCGCAAACTAAGCCTGTGTCCACAGTCCCACATGTCACGTGACTAGTCAGTGTGATATAGATGATCCAGTCTAAACTTATATTGAGAGAAAAAATGTGATGTTTATATTGTCCAATGTCATTTAATGACATATTTAATTGAAACAAGAAAGAGAAGATGTTTTACCACAATGTACATTTTGTCATTTGTGTTATTGGTAAAGTGTATCCTAATGTAGGGGTGGACACATCTGTAGAACGGGATGCATTGTCAGTTAGCCCTGAACACGTATTGTTAGTTCAGGGCATGACAACTGTGTTTCCTTTATTTGTTTTGTGCCTTAGATAAATCGTTGGTAAGAATTTAATTTGACATCTAAGGAATGAAATACTGTTTGTTCTGTCCCCATGCATGGTGAAATAAAGTACACTTTGGCCCTTACATACTATTGTTAAAGTACAAGGACGCTTGTCACCTAACTGTATTTCATAATTATAGAAAAGTATTGCTCTCTTATTTAACAGGAAATATGAAAAATGTGATGATGAATAATACTGGGTTGGATTGTTATACCGGTATATTTATCATCTTTCAACCGACCTGTGAAGATCGGGTTAGAATTGGTTATCAGTAAACATGGTAAACCATGCTTATCATAAGAGGTGCCTAATGGGATTGGGTGGTCAGGCTCACTGACTTCATTGACACATGTCATCGTGATCCCAATTGCATAGATTGATGCTCATGCTGTTGATCACAGGATTGACTGTCCAGACTTGATTATTAACAGACCGATACCATATAGCCATGAAAGAATATTCTCCGATGTCAGTAATCTTTGTGTAGCAGACAGAAAACTCAGTAACAGTCAGAAAAATCAGTTAGTAGCAGTCACATTCAACAAAAACTTTTAGCATTGAAAGCTGTAACCACTGACAAGCATAATCATGATAATAACTGAATCCTCAAATGCATGAGCAATTCACCACACAGAGAACATGTGAGTGAGTGAGTGAGTGAAGAGCTGTCAACAGACAAATTCCTCTTACACAGTAGGGGTGGTGAGGTAGCCTAGTGGATACACTGTTCGCTTGTCAAGCCAAAGATCCCACGTGGGTACAATGTGTGAATTCCATTTCTGGTGTCCCCCTAAGTGATATTGCCGGAATACTGCTAAGAAGCGGCGTAAAATTAAACTCACTCACTCAGTGTTACACAGTAGCAAGCCATCTTTGCAGTGTTTGAAATTAACACTGGTCCTTAGGCCTGAAGCTGACTGAAAACCACTCAGACCCACAGCTTTTGTTTTCTGCAGGTCCTTATGGCCGACAGACAGGCTTTCATCCCCAGTATCTAAGAGTATTGTTTTTCAGATAATATCTTTCAGTAATTTCTAGTTTTTATCTCAATCAGCAGCTGTTGTCTCTAAGTGAAACGACTGTCATTTTCGAGGCAGCAATTTAGATTATCATGTGATCATTTAACCTTGAACAAATTATCTCAATGCATTGCAGACTACATACACTAACAAGGTATCGCTTTCAGTTCATTTATAATGGTAGATGATTTATGGTGGTGTGCAGTTTGTTAGTTGTCGCATGTTTTGTTTGTTGGGAATTACTTACATTGTAGCTAAAATATTGGGCCTACACATACTGATCAGGAACCACACCTTTTATGGTTCTGGGTCCTTAGGGCCTGCAACTTTTCAGGGTTAAGGGCAAACACTGCATCTTTGTCTTTAAAACTTTTTTGTGTGTGTGTTGAAAATCAGACATACAAAAAAGAAAGAAAATTTCAATAATGTTTTTTTGACAAAATATGCTTCAGTTGACAGAAGTTGACTTCGCCAGTAGGTATTCTAGAAGTGACACTACTGTCCCATGTATACAGCTCTTTATCATTGTGATAGTCTGTTTCACAGTCCCTGAACCACATTATTTTCCCTACTTCTTAGCCCTCTCTGCAATGCTAAAGCCCTAAATGAAGCAAATCTAGATTTCCTCAGGTTCTGAATCTCTGGTCTCCCTGGGGCTCCTTTTCAATTTAAATGGGTTTGTTTGTTACTATCAAAATCATATATATTCAGAGACTAAGCGTTGGTCTGTCACTGAGAGAGAGAGGTAGTTGTAAGGAGAACTGCATCACCTGTGTCCTGACTGACCAGTTAGTACAGTGCTAATCTCATCGGCACCAACAGGCAGCATACCACGGAACACATAGTTGTCTGCAGTTGTAGGGCAAGCTGTTTTCAGGATGGGTCAGTTATCATGGTTATAGGGGTGTCATTCACTGAACCTTTGATGCATCGTGATGTTTAGTGAACTGATACAAGTAATGTATCAGTAGGTCCATCATCAATACAAACACCAGAATATACATATATCATGACATGTTGAATTGTTATTAATATTATTAGTGGCAGGTAGTCTTAAGTATTAGATCTTGAGGTGACATGGGGTTGAACTGAAAAGTCATGTTCCATAGTTTTGAATGAATGCAATAAAGTTTATCAAATAGTTAAAAACTATGTCAATGCACTCTCTCCCACAGTCTGTGTGTGTGTGTGTGTCTCTCTCTCTCTCTCTGTCTCTCTTTTTACAAAATTGGGACAATTTAGTTCTTTACTTCTTACAAAACATGCTTTAACTGACAGAAGTTGACTTACATAGGTGAAGCTGTTCATAAAAATCTCTCTAAAAATGAGAAATGAAAAAGGGTATCATTACTCTCAGTTAAAAGGAAAAGGGAAAACTTTCAAACATGGTGAAATAACATTCTCTGAGTTTCATGATGGATGAAACATATTCTTCTAGCTGGCACACTTCAACTCCCCAAGGCAGGCCTAAAAATCGTCAGCATTTTTATGAGTATTTTGTGGTACATTAAAAGAAAAAACAGGTTTCTGTCCTTGAATGTTCATTTCCTCTGATGGATAACTGGTTTTCATGTCATCTGTCTGCAGCCTTCCTACCAAGATATTATTCGTGACACATTATGTATAATTATTTCCATAGCCAGCAATGTTCAAGTTACAAGTTGTTTCAACTCCTGAAACCAGAACATCACCTGTCTTATTTGGGTTATTGGAGGCGTGATCTGGCCATGTCACCAGGTTCAGCTCCAGGTCAGAGAGCTGTAAAGTGAAACATCCCAGCCAGGTAGTAACAATGTGGAGAATGTGTGAGGCCAGCTGACAGAGTTTGGCCCCTCCTTTTGTGCTTTAAAGACTACTTTTCATGGTGCGCTTGTAAGTATTGTATTCAAACCGTCTGTACGTTTATCTGGTTACCTGATACCCAGAAACTACACCGTTTCCCTTTGTGTTGATGTTATCACAGTGATAGTGGAGATTTACTACCCACTTGTCATGCTGCTGTTGTTGTAGATTCACCACTGTGTGTCTTTTGTGAGAAACGACTTAATTTGTACATTTGTATTGTGTTTGATCATGTAGATAAGAGTGAGGATAATGATCTACAGATAACAGAAAAGTGATATCTTTATCTTTAAACGTATGTAATGAGATCAGGAATGTGACATGGTTGCAATTAATAGGAGTGGCTTAGAATTAATTTAAGATTGTATTTAATGACTAAAGTTGATATCTTTATTAACTTGATTGATGTTAGATTGTATTTAATGACCAAAGTTATTATCTTGATTAACTTAATTGATATTGCAGTACAGTACACTTATAAAAGTTATTTCTGCTAGTTATAACAAAT